AGAAATAGAATATATCACACATAATGATTAAAAACTAACGAAAAAACAATTAAATAAGTATAATAATTAATGATGTACCTACCTAGTTGATAAGTTCCAAGGRCAGCGACTAAAATAAATTTGTTTTTTAATACTTACGTGATCGGCACTCAATTTGGTCACAGCTGCAATCACCGTTTACAACGAATAACGCTAACGTATAATACAGCTACGATACGTTGAGACGAACGCTCAATGTTCGAAGTTACTGGACAAGTAAAGAGATATTTCGTATTTTTGTCAGAATAAAACTGAGAGTGGAAGACAAAACGCGAAAAAAAACAGAATGTAATACGGTGGCCAGTGGGTGAGTGGTTAAATGTACTTAAATACGCATTATCAAAGTMATGATCGTAAGCTAATACCTGGCATCTGCTATACACTATACAGTACCTACCATTGTGGTAGTAAAAATTTCCTTCGGTCACCTAAACATAATAAATATTCTCTCGTCGTCAGTTTCCCTGCAATGGTTGGCATCACCTGACCACCATAACGCAGCGTCATCACTCTATACTGTGACTATCATACGCGACGCGCGCCGCTCGCTCGATTCAAAATCCAAATTCTGTAAAATATGATCTGTTTCGTCTTCCTTAATTTACAGTTATGTTCATATTATATTTGAACCAAGATGGACTTATAAATCCTCCTTAACTCAATTCATTTTTTCATTTAGCTCGACGAACGACTCGTTTTCATTGTACATTGTTATGACTCGCTATCAGGTATCGAAACACCTGCTCATCCGTATTTATTATTTAGTTGAACGAAAAATCAACACCATAAATAAATTATAACGTAATACCTAGACAGCTAACTATCATAATAATAATATTGGAAGTCTACYGCTATATGCATGTTAACACTGAGATAGATAAGAATATTACACTGGAGCGTGGACTCGCTCAAAAAGTCATGTTTATAATTAATTAAAATTAAATATCAATAAATATTACATATTATAAGGTCAGTTTATTAAACATTTTTACACATCACATATTTTTAATCACATTTTAGCCTTATATTATGTCYTACGTTAGTCAAAAATACACTTACACTCAATTATTTTTTAGTAAATTGTTCACATAAATTTTTCAATCTGGTTTGCATTACATGCAGTGCCGCAATAACCGGGTGTGTTGCATGTGTCAAACACGCGGTCCCATGCAGGGGTGAACGCAGGAAAAAATTTCGGGGGGGAGGGGTTGAAAAAATTAAAAGTAGGTATTCATAAATATCATATTATTCATACTGTATTACACTTTTCTATATTTTAYTTTARTCACTTATACTATATACATAAATACATAATACATATATAATATACATATTACATAATAATATAATATCATAGATAATAATTAATAACTAATTATTACAATTTATAGGTTAGTGTAGAACTGTAGATTAGTTGTAGGAATTTCCGGTAGACGGCAATTACACTCGTCGTCTGTCTACATTACGTACATCATCGGATTGGCAGCCTTCGATGTCGATCAGTTATTAATAAGTTATAAAATACTGTCATACTCACTTCGAAACTGCATTATAAAACATTTTATTGGTGATTTTACTGTATCCATTAATTTACGGATTTAGGTATCCATTAATTAAACCATGGAAGAAGGGAAACTTTTTAATAACTAATAATTTATTTTAATTTTTTTGAAATGTTATTAGTAATATACTAATACATTTGTTGGTCAGATGATTTATTTTTTGTACCTACTATTTCGGGGGGTGTTTAAACC